TTACTACAGGTACCCGGGAGAGAATGCACACGCAAGACTGGCAGCACATGAGACATTGCTTCTGCTCCGGAAGCTGGGAGGAAACAATATGTGGAAGAACTTGAAAACAAAATCCTGCATGCAGTGTGATTAGTCGCCTCAGAGCTCCTTGTGTACTTGCAAGTACAGCATTTTTAGTTATTCTTGTCCCCTTGCACAATGGCAAACAGAACAGGACCGGAGGAAAACCTGCTTTATACCCTGGGAGAGGCAGGCAGAAGCATGGAGTGTTGAGGAGATAAGATGCTGCTAGCCATGGAGCTGTTAACCTTGGAATGCACCATGATGCCATTAATCTGTGTTTGGAAGGAGGTTTCTGCATCTGGACCTTGGTGAGGGACACTCAGAAATGTTCTTTGTGGCTCAGGATGGCCAGACGTTCTCGTGTGCAGAGGGTTGCGGGGGAAACCGTTGAGCAGACACCCATTGCCCATCCCAAAACCAGACAGCTAAGCTGTGTCCTCTGCAACGCCATCTGCTATGGCGGCCACCCTTCCATACCACCTGTGTCCGCCTGCCTCCTGGGTCTGGAGCCCCTGCGGGAAGAGGGACTGGTTATGCAGTAGCACACTGGGTAAAGGCCAGTTAAAAATGAGTAGAGTCTGGGGATTTTAGGAACATGCAGATAGGGCAGAGATCTCTGTCTTCTCTATTTAGGGTAGATGGGTGGGAGATTAGTGGGTTTGCTGCCACAGAGGGAAGATGAACTCAGGAAGAAATTCTTCCCAGAGAGGGTGGTGAGGCACTGGCACAGGTTGCCCAGAGAAGCTGTGGATACCCCATCCCTGGATGTCTTCAAGGCCAGACTGGATGTGGCTTTGAGCAACCTGGTCTAGTGGAAGGTGTCCCTGCCCATGGCAGGGGGGGTGGAACTAGATGATCTTTAAGGTCCCTTCCAACCCAAACCATCCTGTGATTCTATGATTCTAACACAGTCCCTGGGCTGGGGTAGTGCTGGTGAGACAGTGACTGCTGCTCATCTGCAGCGTGCACAGCAGCAGGCACTGCGTGAGGAACTGCCTTCTCTAGAGGGATAATGACGAGACGTAATGAGAAATCGTGTCTGAGACCCCACCAGTTTTGACGGCACCTGAACAAGCGTGTCTGGCAGCCCTTCTCCCCGCACCAAACACACAGACTGTACAACTCCTGGCCTCAGCATGGAGCGGCGCGTTAGGTGTCTAGACGTTCAGCACGTGCGTTTCAGCTTAGAAGGTCTGGCCTGGAGCACCTACAAACCCTCAGATAATAGCACGGGTGTCTGCACAGACGTAGGGTGCGTGCGGGCTTTGGCAAGCAGTGACAAACGGAACTGTTTTTTCCCATGCGATGTATCATCTCAGTGACAGAAGTTTGGCAGGAGGGCTGGTGCCTGGGCGGATGGCTGCCCGGAGCGATTTCGCAGGGTTCCTCCTGCGAGTGTGGCGCCAGGTGAACCGAACACAATGTGACGTTTTTTCAAAGGCACCGTCATTGCAGAGGGGTTCGGTTGCTGCATGTTCACGTACCCAGCCCACATCCCCTGGAAGGCTGTTTGAAAACAAGCCCCCGGGTAACCTCCAGGAAGAGGGAGGCAAAAGGTGTCTTAGAGGTGAGGGAGCATGACTCCAAGGTTTAGGTGCAAGACCTCCTCAGTGTTTGCCAGTTACTCAGGCTGTACCGACCGCGGTACAGCGTCAGGACCTGCTTTCACAGGCAGCCTGTGAGTTACACACATAAAAATGCAGTCTTGCAGGGCTTGATCCTGAACCTGCAAGTGTTGATGTGATTACAACCCACAGCACCAGCGTTTGCAAGATCCTGCTGGAAATGGGATGTGTGTTGCTGGCCGCTTCACGCTTTCCCAAATTTGGTCTGACAGGTCCCAGTGAGAACTCCTGTCCGCACTCGGCAAGGGTGTAGGTTTTCTTTGTGTCTCCTGGCAGTGCCCTGACACCTCTGTCATGTACTCCAGGAGGGGTTCAGACACCTTTTAAAACTCTTGGGGCATCATCCAGTTGCTGGCAGGCACTGTCAGGCGAAAAGAGCTCTGTGGTTTGGTATGCAGCTGCTGAAGCCAGGGATGAAGGCAGGATGGGAATACCCTTATCTTTAAACAGAGCCTTTGCACTGGCATGCTTTTGAACTGAGATCCCAGCCTTTTCCAGGACTCCTCCACACTGAGAATGAAAGGGATAAACTGTTTTCTCCATAGCAAAAGAAAGCAAATATTCATTATGCTGATGGAAAAAGGAATAAAGAGAAGCAAGTATGGTCTATTTCCTGCAGGAGTGGAAAACGGGGTCATTCTTGTTGCGGCCTGCTGATGATACGACACAGACGGTAGCTGATACATGCCTGCCGTCACAATGACATCCTTTTATTTCATATTTTGTTATGCTGAACTCCTTTGCTGCAAGTATTAAGGCTGTGTGCTGCTCACGGTAGCCATCACATGCCAATTTTTGTAGTTTCAGTTCATGAGGACAGGGTGTCTAGTGGGAAGAAAGGGAAAAGGGATACAGACTTTAATGGGCATCACCGTGCATAAGGCATGGAACATCTCTGGATGGCCATCTGTATCCTGCCCTGATGCAGCACTTGACTCACCACCCCAGTTTAGGACTGCAGTAGCACTAATAACAAGCTGTTGCTGTTAGCATAACCAAGTATCAGACCTCGGCTCAAACCAGATGCCCCATTTCTGAAAATCTGGAGTTTGGAGAAACCAGGAACTCTTGACTTCATTTCCTAGCACATGATAAACCCTGTCTTGGGAAGCCAGAAGCAGTCTAAGCCTCTGTCGTGTGCTGTGCTTCCATAAATTGCCTGAGTGATGCCGCGCTTCAGGGAACGGCCACCATAATTTTCAAACCAAAGCCTGTCAGAAGTTAATTAATCCCTGTGGGATTAATTGCTGTATGAGAACTTCAGTGAGTCTGGTGCTGTTATATCTTCCAGGGCAGCTGGCATTGCATGGTTAGGCTCTTGATTTTGGAAGGCAGTTTCCCAAAGCGCCCTTGGTCCTCGCAGAAGTGGTCCTTTGGTGAGCCGGTGGCAGCTCATCAGGTGGCAAGTTCGGAAGCAGAGTAACAAGCAGCTCATGTGGAAGGGTAGTGTAGGGGTTAATGTTACCCATCCATGGGCTGGACAAACAAGCATCCTGGGAGGTGTGAGGTTTTATGGAGAGCTGACCTAAGCTTTGTTTATTGGTAGGGGAAAACAGTGCCTGAACAGTCACTGCAAGAGGATTACATCAAGGCCTGAGGGTACGAGAGGGCAGACCCTTATCAGGGAAATCTGCTGGTGACTGAACAGCTCGACACTTCCATAAGCATCTTTCTTGAGTGGACTTGTCCACCTCATAATTCGCCACACAGAGCTCGTGAAGCCACTGACCAGAGGAACTTCCACCCAAGTTCATGCCACCTGAATTTGTCACAACACCCCCATTTTGCAGCACCATCCCTGGGCTTGCAGGAGAGCAAGGCAGCTGCCAGGCACCACAGGCAGTGGTCATCAGCACAGACAGAGGAGGATCATTTGCCATGAGCAAAGTTTGTAAGCAAAGCTGAGCTTAGAAAAAATACCTGCAGCCTACCTTCCAGGTGGAAAGCAGTCCTGGTTTTATCCACTGACTAGTAGCAGTGTACGGGAGGAAGAGGGTCCCTTCAGTCTGTGAGGCCTCTGCCCCTAGACGGGCTTACACAGCAGTGTGCATTTTTCAGATGTGCCCTCTGCATATAGCATGCTTTTTTCCAACAATCTCTCTTCGAGCCTTCAGGAGAAGACTCCCGGCTGTCAGGGGTGTGCGGACTCCTCTTACGGAAGTGTCCAGAGCTCAGAGGATCAGACAATGGCAAGTCAGCCTGTGCATGGTGCATCTATTCAGTCTTCCAGATTTTTTATGCCTGCAGTGCGTTCTTCAGTTGGGTTTACACAGTTCCTTTACCTCTTATATACTGTATTAACAGCAAAAGCTGCAACAATGGAAGCCTCTTTTTAAAATCACCGCTTCACAGTGTGCAGAGCTACCTCTCTGGGGCTGCACTAACAGTCAGCTGCGGCTGCAGAACTGAAGGTTAGAACTCCAACATCTCGCTGCTCTTGATGTACCACCTCATCCCTTTTCCTGCCACGCTGAGGCGGTCACTGTGGGGATCACTAGCTCAGTGCCTGAATGTTCAGAGCAACCTTTCACAGCTAACGTGCATTGGGCTGCAAAATCCATTAGCTTCAGCCCTGTAAAAAATGGACTTAAAGTATAGTGGATATAATAAAATTATAGTGGTATCATAAAAATGTATTACTCTTTCATAAAGGATATTAAGTGTCTGAACATCGCTAAAAAGGTTCTCCATCAATCCTTTACTTTCAGTTCCTGCCCCTGGGGCTGAGGTTTGCCTTTTAAGAAATGCGCACTGCGTGTCTTCACTTTACTCATCAAGACACACCTGCTTTTGGTCTCCTCAAGCAGCGGGGCCTGATTCTGTTGTGCCAAACGGGGAGCGGAAAGTGGGTGTCAGTGGAAAATCCTGCCTGGGCAGCATTGCCTGTCCGCCTTGCACAGGCACCGTGGTGGTGTGACACACTGGCAGCACAGAGTCAGGCTGTGTAGGAATCGGATGAGTTTTTCCCCTGTTCCTGAGTCGATTAACAAGGAAAAAACTTTGCTATTATCATCTTCCCGCTGTTTCTGCAGCAAGGTAAAAGATGCTGCGTTGTTCCCTCTTTATTTTGGCTGCGTGTGGCAGTACATTTTTAGCTTTGTGGCAGCCTTAGGGTGAGTCCATGGTGGTTCCCCTCCTGCCAAATCTGAGTTTTCAGCGCACAAATCCGTGGGAAATCATCAGGGAAGCTCTGTGATTCATCTTTCCTAAATTCTTCACATTTTGTGAAAAACACCAAGTTGCTCTCAGCCAGACATGGCGGCAGCATGTCACTATGACAAGCTATTTTTATCCCCTTTATTTGTTTTCTAGCGTATTCAGCTGAGCTCAACAAGCTTCACGTCTAACTCAGATGATGACCTTGAGTACCTGTGCATCAGTGCTGCGAGCCCCAACACCCCAAGGCCACCGTCCATGCTCTCAGCCTGTGGAGATACCGGTGCATGATCAAAGGACTCAGAGGTCACATGGACATCACTAAGGTCAGAAAACTTAGGAAAATACTGTTTTTACAGTAAGCCAGCCTCCCTGGTCAAATTAAGTTATCGTGAAATTTGAAGAGATGGGATTTCTTCCTGCTTTACATGCTTGCAGTCTTAGGACCTTCCAAGTTTCTCTCCATAAAGCTGTTATCTCTTCTAATTCACACCTTGTTGCCTTTCTGGTTGAGCCAGGAGCTTTGGAACGCTGGGGGATACAAAGATTTCCACGTACTAACACTTGCACACAACCTTTGCCTCATGCTGCCATGTGACAAGACTTCCTGCCGTCACCCTAAGGACACGCTGTTTGCATGTGTCCACGAGCTAGCCAAGAGAATCCAGAGAATTAGAGGGCTTTTCTCCAGAAATGAGCTCCCAGCAATGTCAGTGTGCACACCAAAAATAAGGACTGCAGTGGCTAAGGGCCAAAGTGCAGAAGGCCCGGCTCACATCCTTGTAACGAGGTTTCCCTGGGAGGTTGAGCAGGCTAAAGCAGCCTGACTGCAATGCTGACATCTCATGGCCAAAATAAGCTGCTGCTGCTTCTCCTTTTCCTCCTCCTCCTCCTCCTCCTTCTTCACCTGAAAGGTTTCCATATGTACCACGCTACTGCAAAAGTAGAGTATTACACCCGAGTGACAGGCCACACCTTTTCACAGAGTCACACCTCAGTGTGACCCAAACCTTAATTTACTTCAAAAAAGCCAGGAATTTGGCTCCTTTCTTCTGAACCTGGGTTTCTCTAGCTGGTGCAAAAGTGCTGCCAGCCGGTGAAATGGATCTGGTCTGTCTGAGCGTCCTCACACCGCGGGGTTTCATAGCATCTCTTGTGCTTTGTTAAAGGTATAACCTCTTCCCAAGACTCTAAGGCTGGCCGGAAACAAACAGCCGGGGAGGTGTGGAAGCTGTTGCAGGTTTCCTCAGAGCATGGAGGATCTCTAAACGTGGCTTCCCCACCTGCGATGCATTTCTGTCCCGGGAGTGCCTTAATGCCTCTTTCTCCTTCCTCTTGCTCCAGATCGTAGCAGTGAAGCTCTGCGAGCACCCAGAGGACTTCTACATCACCATCCAGAAAACAGATGGGTCTGACTTTCTAGTCACATCCCTCCACGCTATCCGACGGGGCCTGTACCGGATCCTCAAGAATGCTGGTGCTGGTTTCTCCATCACCAGCAGCACCTTCAGCTCTTCCACCAGGATGCTCAAGGAGAAGCTTAAAGTCCTGAGCAAAGGCGGGATGTCTGGCGCCCGCTCTCGCAGCGTTGTCTGCTGCTCCCTTTCTGACGAGGAGGTGTGGAGGATGGGATGCCTGGGAGATGACAGCCCCGTAGTCCTGCTGTCCAGGGAAATGCAACAGCCAGTACCTGAACACGCGAACCTTGCAGCAGCACGCGGACTTCATGTTTGGTGACACTGAGTTACTCAAAGAGTCACAGGATGGGTCGCTTTTTGCCAGAACAGGCAGCATGGAGCGAGAAAACAGGGTGAACACGAGCAGAGCATGTTACAGCCAGATCAGCCACAAGCACTCAAAAGGGCACAAGCTCTGCCCGTACTGCCTCCTCTACATGTTCATACACCGGCCCCCGACACAGATGGAGGCCAAATGTACCTGACGGCCCGGAATGAGGTCAACAGCATGGAGAATGTCTGGTACGATGGGTCTCCACTCCCCCCGGGGTGCTGTCCCCAAGGTGGCAAAGGCATTGAAGCTGGAGCACTGTGAACATTTTACTTTTGTCTCCTTCACCCAGGCTTCCACAAGGTTTGTCCCAAACTCTTAGCTCCTACCAGTAACTCTGTCCTCTGCTCTCACGAGTTGGCATCCCAAGAAAGTGCTTCACCCCGTAGCTCCAGTGTGATGTGAAGAGAGTGAGCTGCTTTCAAAAAAGAGCAGGAAGTGGAAAGACAGGACATAAAATTCTTCCTGAGGAGGACTGCACATGATGTAGTCCTGTTTTGGGGATAAATACAACCTTGTTCTGAAAAGCAGGGGTGCAGTGCTCTCCTTCACCACTGCTGGCCTTCCAAGCAAAGAGGTAGTAGAGAGCTTTTTCCTCACTGGAGGAAGCAATACGTGTATCCTGGATTTTCCTCCTTGGCAAGCATAGGTAGGAGAAAGGAGACCGCGTTCTGGGGACCCAGAGCTCTTGAAGCAGAAGTGCCCATGTTTTATTTCAGAGCTACAGTGCAAAAGTTACTCTTGTGTGAAGCGTATTTTGTGATGGATCACAGTTTTCTCCTCTTGTTTGGTGTATTGTAAATGTCGGGATTTTTCAATACCTGGTCATTTGCACTGGATCTGTAGGTATTGGTAGAAACTACTATTGTGTTTACCAAGTAATAAACAAACAGATGAAATTAATTACAGTAGTCCCGAAGGACAGCATTTTCATTCAGTCATTTATAAATGGTGAGCATTTACCTCCAAAATCAGTAGTTTGGGGCCGTCCGGTATTTAAGACATCTTAAAGGGGGCTTATGTCAGAAGTCAGATGTTCAGCATCCCTTGGAAATGAAAGCACTCTAAGGTGTCTCAAGTCTGGCATCCACATGATGAAGTTCTCAAAAATCAGTGGTCAGCCGTAAAACCAAAAATGTCCTTGAACAGCTACAGCTTGGTGCAGCTCCTATTGAGAGGAAACCTTCATTTCAGCTGGACCTGTGGCAAGCCTTTAAGCCACGAAAAAGAAAACCTGGAAGACCTAAAACAGAGTTAGGGACGTGCTGTTTGACAGTGCGCAGTCTGCTTCTGCTCTCATGGAAAGGGACGGCTGGGGTTTTCCCGCTGGGTTGCAGGGCTGTGAGAAGGTTGGTGGGGTTTAACGAGCCCACTGCAGGCACTGACTTTCTAGTGCAGCGTAACACCTTAAAATCACAGCTTCAGTCCAATAGGTACATGATTGCAAAGGTAAAATGGGGACGTTTAGTTGTACTTTTTTTGACAGAGACCTTCTCCCTCCCCTAAATTGCTTAAATTCTCTTTTTTTTTTTTAATATTAGTTTGATTTGTAGCATGTCTGTGTTGTAAAATACAGTATTTATCTTGTCTTTTACATGCTTCTGCACAGCATTATTTTAATTTTAAGAAAGTAATTTGCTGGATGTTGAAACACAGAGCAGCACCAACTTTAGCAGGGGAAACATCCTCTTAGGCAAAGCTGCTACCTCCAACCTTCACAGGCTGTGGACGTTATCCCCTACAGTCAGGGTGTGTTTTTAGGAGTCTGATCCTGGGAACCCTTGGCAGCCTTTGCTGGAGGAGGAAGAGTATGTTCAGGATTTCCAGACAAACTCATGCGATGGAAACAGAAGATTCTGCCTGAACAGTTTCAGGTGTGTGCTGTGGGCATTGCTCCCAGAGGAAAAATGCTATTTGTCACCTTCTGTTTAATGGGTGGTGGTAAAGGGCATTCCCTGTGGAAAAATACCATTCCGAAACCTGCAGAGCAAATCACCATTAAGACTGAGGGAAAGCAGAAGCTGGGCTGCGATAGGGTTTGAAAGGAGCAGAAGCTGTTCCAACAGAAACAGTTTTGAAGCCTGAGTGCACCCAGAGAATCAGGCTCTGTGTTGGGTAACTGAGGGAGGAACATACTCTCCCGAGGCGCTGACCTGCTGGAGCTGCTCCTGCCGTTACTGCCACCGAGCAGGTCCCGGGCCAGGACATTCTGGTGGCTGTTGGCAGTAAAAGCAGTCCTGGTGAAGTTTCCTTAGGCACAAACAAGAGGTACAAAAGCCCCGTGGCTTTTCTAATCTCTAGAAGTTTCTTTAATTTCTTTGCTCGGTTGGTGTGTCCATGTTTGGTGGGTGAGGAATGTTCCCCGTTTCCCCCAACAGCGTCAAGGCACTAGCAGCAGTGGCTATAACTAAACAGCACTCTTGTGCCCACGTTGTGTGTAAGAGTCAACATCCCCAGGGCCGGGAGGTAGCGTGCAGTTCAGGCTGACTTTGAGGTGTCCTGTTTGTTGTCCTGTTCTTGTTCCCCTGCAGTGGCACCTGATACCACAGGGGAAATGCTCAGCATCAGAGTACGGTAAGGGTTTTTTAATAGTGATGTAAAGGGAGTGAAAATGAGAAAAAAAATGTTACCGAGTGCTTTTGGGAAGAAGAGTTAGTGTTGATCTTCTGTCACGGTGTGTTTTACTCCTTTGTCTGGTGGCTTTGAGTTTGACAACTTGGTGTCTCTTTTCTCCATTACGTTTTTTTTTAAAATAAAAGCACTGTCACCTCCATAAACGGTGGAACCGTTATGACCTGAACTGTTACAGAAATTACTGGGATATGGAGAAGAACATGGTGCTTAACTGTCCATTTTTGTCACAAAAAATATTTGCCTGTTAGCCAAACATCTTCAGTACTGATGGTCCTTTTTTTCTGGTAGCTCCTCAAATAGATGATCCCGAAACCTTATGTTTTATCTAACAATATTTAACTCGTTTGACTGCTTTAGCTGAGCATATAATTACCTGTATTTCAGCTGCAGTTAACGTGCTGTAATGAGACCAGCACCATATTACTATGTTCTGTGTGAAGGAGACATTTCCCCTCAGGAAGCAATTCCTACCATAAGGCAAAAAGGCGAGGCCAGAAGAGGTGTGATACGACTTGCCAAAGGCCGCAACACGGATCAGTGAGACAGGGTATGGCCCCTGTCTCAGTCATGTCCTCTTGTGGCACCCCTCGTCTGCAAGGTCGTTATTGATAAATGCAACTCCTCTGGGAGTCCTGTAAGAGCCCTACTCAAGAATCCTAGCCAAAAAGAAAGTCAGGAGATGCCAAAAGCACCACTTAACCTTTTTGACCATTAGCAAATAATCATATGCTGCAAAGGACAAAGAAACACTCCCTTTGCATCTCTGCATGGCCCCATGTCCAGCCAAAGCAGGTACTGTCTGCTTTGTGCCCAAGTTCAGGCAGAGAGGATTTCTTACCTTGTGCTTCTGCGGTGCGCTGGAGAGCTGGGCTGTGAGTTTTGCTCTTCCAGCTGTGTCTCGCTCTCTGGGCTGCGCTCTGTCCTTGTTGAGAAGCCAGCTCTTGCAGACTTCCAGCCAGGCATGAATTATTCCATGGGTGTTCCTTGCGCTCAATACTTTAGCTGAAAATATGTCCCGTGGTGCAAAATCAGAGCACGCACTTAGCAAATCCTGGCTTTATTAGTTTTTGTGGGCCGTGGAGATTATGCTGGCAGAGTACTATTCCTTATTCTGAGTTCGAAGAAGGATAGGATTATGGCTCATTCAGAATTTGCTGTTAACTGCAGGGATTTTAATTTGCTTTCCCTCCCCACTCACCCCAGACCAAACACATCTATGATGTGAGGCATATGCTCAGCCTGGCAGGCTACAGAATTACGCCGAAGGCTATCAAAATACCACCTAGCTGAGTTCAGGGCTTATGATTTTGAGGCCTTTGAGGCTTTTCTGTAGTGTGTCAGGCTGGGCACTCACAATTGCTTGTTCCTTTGGAAGGCCTTGGCACAGGTAAGCGTGATCACCACAGGTGTCGGTGGAAGGGGACGCTCATACATCTCTCCTTATCAGAGTGGGACCGTGCACTTCAGCTTCTGGCAGACAGACATGATGTTTTCATTTTAACATTCTTCGTCATCAGGATGGGTCGTTAACACAACGCGCTCCCACGCTCTTGCGTGCTGGGGAGGGAGGCAGGTGTTCCTGATACGCGGAACGGAGAGCAAAGTAGGGTCAGAGTGTCTGGTTCTTCACTTTGCGATGCGCCCTCCTGGCAGCTGAACTTACAGCAGAACATCTGGCATGATGCACTCCGTCTCCTTGGTTTAAACTGAAATTAAGTGGTGTTTCAATTTTGCTCCAAGAAAATGTTTTTCTCAAGGCAATGTAAGAAATACAATTTACAATTTAATTCAATTAAATAAAGTGTTCCATTTTTTGGCAGACTTTCAGTTACCCAGAACATTGATTTCAGACCTTATTTGCTCAATACTATTTAGTGAGTCCAAAGAACCTTGCATTTGTATCACACCCACGTTTTCTGTGGACTCAAAGATGAATATAGTAACAGTTTAGGGTGTAGCGTTTACTTTTTTAAAATCATCTCCTGCACTCTTCTTTTTTCCACTCCATTTCTTGTCTCTTTGCCATTCTGATGACTTGGGCCGGGGCTGATGTAGGGAGGTTGAATGCTCTGGGTGGCAAGGCTGTAGTCCGTTTACTGGACTAGAAGTCTCTAACTGCCACAGTGGTCCAAGGGCAATTTCAATTTTCGCTGTAGACAGGCTATTGGCCACTCAGAAAGTGAGAAGGAATGGCTCCTATGGAAGACAGACACTGGAGCGTCCTCAGGGCATGTCTGGGTCATCCCATGACGGAGACTGAGCACCCTTATGCAAAGGAAAGGCAAAACTTGAACTAACCAGGACTGGATCGCCAGGTCAAAATTGGGGAAGTGAAGGGATACAGACAGCTGTAAATCCTACGCTCACATGTCCATGAAGGAGTCTAAGCCGCAGGAAAATGTGACCTACAAAAAATGCTGCTTGGAAGGTCCCTCGGGCCAGGAAACAGGGAAATACCTCCCAACCTCAACCAGCAGCCCCAAGTCCAGACGTGGGAGGGTCTGCAGAGCCACAATCAAATATAATATGCTAATTATTGAATACTTTTGAAGGAAAACCTTTGCCTTGTGCAGTACACATCCTTGAATAATTCATTCCCTGACAGAAACAAGATATCTCATTATTGCTGCAAAAACGAACAGGGCAATGTGGAAGAAAAGTGGACAATCAAGTCGTGCACGAAGAAAACAGATGGCGTTAAGGGAGAGATGTGGATGAGGGAAGCAGAGCAGAGGATCGCACAGCAGTCCCATTCCCAGAGCAGCCCTTCCCAGGGACATGGAGTGAACAGGGTGGAGAAAGTCCTACAGCTGCAGAGAAGGTCCCTGCTTTGTGGCGGAGGGTCGTCAGTGATCCTCAGGACAGCTGCAGCACTGCCAGTCCCTGGGTGTGCCACCCATTCCGTAGGTCCTGCCAGGACGTGTCAGGACCCACCTGAAGGGTAGGTGTGTACAGCGGATGGGATTGCTTTTGATGAGATCACTGATGAGGTCTGTGGGAAAATGGAGCCTGCCTGGGGAGAAACAGCGAGAGGAGATGTGATCGTCATGTCACACTGAGGTGAAAGGGGGGTTGAGCCATGGCCGTTATTCTCAAAATAGAGCTTCTCACACCTACTTTGAACACAGTCTCAAAGGAAACCGTATCAGGCACTGATCTCTGGGAAGCTTGGAGGAATCTACTCCAGATCTGCCAGCCAAGGTCACAGGCGTGCTGGTAGTTGGAGAACTGCATGATCCTCCTTGAAGTTACCCCACAGACAATTAATTCTGGAGTACCTTCTGTGCTTTTGGGTTCTGCCTGCCTTCTGCTGCTGCTGGTGTGGAAGGAGTGTCTAGCTGGAAACAGTCCTGCATGATGCGTCTGGAGCTTTTTAATCCAGGACTTCTGAATGAAGCCGTTGCATTTTACAACTTACTCCCAGATTGTCAATGCGTGTTGGGAGCAGCTCGGGGTGAGGCCCAGCCCACTGGGGATCAGTCCAGGGAGCGAATTTCTGCTTTGCTTAAAAGATTGGCCCTTATACCCTGTAAGGGTCTCTGACTTTGCTAGCAAAACCTCACCCAAGAGCTCCAGTGCCTTGCTGAGATCCTCCTTGCTCCGTGTAGGGCGGACAGGCCCTCACCCCATTTCCCGCTGTCTGGCTGTGCTGCTGCGAAGTAGCCTCCTTCCCAAGGGCGAGACAGTCACCGAGTGGGCTTGAAGTCTGCTGAGCACCCCCTCAGTCACTGCAGGGTCTGCCGGTCTGCTCCAGCGCCTTCTCCTTTTTGGGGTTATCGTGTGACCATCACTGGGGTGCAGCTGCAGCCACAAACAGGGAGAGCAGCTGTGGGCTGGGGAGGAGATTTCTGGGGACGAGGGTGGAGGAAGACGCTAACAGGGCTGGCAGGAACACCACAACATTTGGATGGCTCCTCTGGTGTTGTATGTTGGCTGTTTTAAAAGTATACAAACTGGAGGGCCAGCGCATGACTGCTTTTCAAAGTTTCCAGGTGGGCACTTGCCCATGCTTTATGTTGCTAAAGGAGAACAGCTCTGTGCTGAAGACTTGCAGATGTTCTACAACGAAACTGTGATTCCTGGGAGCGTAGGTCTGAGGGGCAAGATCCCTGCCCGTGTGAGGAGGGGGCTCGCTGTGAAGCGGAGCACTGCCACGTTGGTTACTCTGCTGTTCATCCAAATACAGCAGAGTGGGTGGGACCGTGGCCCCACGGGGACAATCTGACGTGCCGGCATCGTTCTGACACAACACCCCAGCTGAGTCAAGTTGGGGTCAGGTCTTGGAGGAACACACCACTGCTCCTTTTTCCTTTCCTGCTTGGTGACTGTGTTTGTTTCATGGACACACCTGAACTTACAGGCGTTCATGTAGCGCATGAACAGCTACTGACCAGCTCTACGTCACACCTAAGCAAAGCTTAAAGGAAAACAGGGGACAAAGAAGAGATGACAAACCTGTGTGCCGAAGCTGGCATCAGCTTGAGAAGCAAGCTCCTGCTTGTCAGAAGCAATCCCGGCTTGTCAGAAGCAAGGGTTTACTAGAAAGAAGCGGTCCAAGACGCAACTCAAGCCTCCACTCTCCAGACCTAAGTCCTTCTGACAGCGACTCTGAAAGCTGTGCAAGGAGCCGTCCTGCACGTGTCTGCTGGGTGCACCATGTCTCTGAGCCAGACTTTTGCTCCCTGTATTTCCCAGCACCCCTGGCCTTGTGGAGAACCACTCGCTCTGCTGATCAGCGATGACGTGGCACTGGGGTGCTCGCAGGGCTCCTGAGCACCCTGCTGAGGGCTGGCCCTGTGCTGAGGATGCACCACCTCCATCGAGACCCCTGCTCCTTCGAGGAAGAACAACATTCCCTCACCCTGAGGCTACCATGGGCTGGGGTTCCTTTACGCATCCTTAACTGAGTGAGCAAAGTCCTTAACTGCCCACCTCTGTCACACGGGGATATTGCTGCCTGATTTTCCGTGGTGGGAATCTCTCTGGGTAATGAGTGTTTGATGAACCTCCCACCACAGCCATGTGACTGGTATCTTCCTTTCTGAGATAGTGTGATTTTTATGGTCTGGTGGGACCCTGGAGCATCTTGACTGAGTTTGGCCATCCCTTCACATCTGTGCAAGTTGGGCTGACAGTGCATCTTTCCCCAGCAGTGCTGGCACTCTTGTTTCCAGAGGAAACAGAATTGGCTGCCAAGTCAGACACTACCCTGTGATCTAGTAGCGCGAAGTCCGTGTGAAGGTGTTGTAGCCCTTTTCACCAGACACATGGTTATTTTCTGTTTGACACCAGCCTGTTCTAGAGGTTAATGGGATCTAATGGTGACCTCTAACAGTCGTTACTGCAGGCTGCTGCCACACTAAACGGAGGTCAGCCAGAGACGGGAATGCGTTCGCTGTATCACACCATACAAAAACTTACCTGGCTGCTAGGCACTTCAGCTGTTGTGCACAGCGATACAGCAGTTGTGAGGAAAGCCAAAATTACAGGACAAGCATGTATTTTTTTACACACTTCTGGAGGTTTACTTCTCCCATAACAATAGCATTGGCTTTTGCACTTGATACGGCTTGTACTTGTAACTTCCCTTAATAAAATCCTGACATGTCCCTTGCCTGCCCTAGATGTCTATAAAAATCCTATTACAGCTAAATTATTTTTATAATTTCAACGCTGCCTTCTTGTGCTCTTTGCAATATTTCTCTGTAACTTATGAATAATTGTCTCCTTGGGGTCTTCGAGCTAAATCACAGTGAGAAGTAAGACTTCCTCTTTGTTGTGCTGGTCCTAGGGGAATAGCTGGAGTCAGTTTCTGAGGGGTCTCGTGCTCTGGAAGGCAGCGTCTTCACGTGCAGCCTGTTTCAGCCCCGAGGGGGCTTTAGCTGCTGTGCATTTTTTTCTGAGCCTTTTTGAGTGTTGGAACAATGTGGTATTTCTTGATCACTTACTGCCTGAGACACATGCAGGAGATGTGCTTGTTCTCCATCCAGCTCCAAGAGGCCATGGTCCCTATGGATAGTTTGTCCCCAGAGCTACAGCAGGCTTGGCCACCTCACGTGGTATGTGTGCCTTGTGGTGTCCGCTTAGGCACGCCGTCAGGGCTGGGACTGGTGCCTCTGGGCTGCTGAGGACCAATCAGAAACCATGGACCTAGAGCTGCGTGAGATAATAACCTGGTGAACAAATGCTTTAAATGCACTCCTCTTCCCAACCCCACTCCAGACTGGGACAACAGCAAAGAATACCCCATGCCATCTGTGGGGCTGATGCTCCACAACCAATCCTGAGCACTGCATATGCATTGGAAAGAGAGAAGAACTGTACAGGTTCAAGCTTGTAAAGGTCTCTGAGGAAGCCCATTTAGATCATATGGATACAGCTGGAGGA